AGTTCTTCTAACACATACAAATGAGCTGAAAGAAGTTCAAGATTTAATTGATAAACTTAATCTTGAAAATCCTTTAACTGCTGATGAATTTATTCAATGTGATGAATCTGAACTTACAGCAGAAATGATATCCAATGAAGAAATTTTGAAAGTAGTTCTTCCCAATAATCATGAACAAGAGGTAGAAGAACTAAATTCTGATCCTTTACCATCCATTACTCATAGCGAGGCCATTGAACATTATGATAAGGTGATTTTGTATTTAGAGCAATAAGAGGATAAATTTGATATGAAAAAAGAAGAAATAAGATGCATTAAAAAACTTAGGAAGGAAGAGTTAAAACAACGTTTTATTTCTGCGAAACAAAAGAATCTTAATGATTTTATTAATATCTCTTAATTTCATTAATATTTACAATATATAATATAATAATTGTATTACATTTAATAATAAATAATATAAATAGGGAAAATGTCATTGGCGACCCGTATCGCCAGTGCGACCCTAAATCATTTGATCAAATTTGATTGGCTAACTAATATCTACAATTACGTCAGCCTTCAGTTATTTGTTATTATTTTCCCCTTTTTTCGTTATTCTTTTTCCCTCCTTTTTTTGTTTCCTTTTCTCTTTATTTTCGCTTTACTTGTTTTATTTTTTGACTTTTTTTTCATTTTATTTCCCTTTTCTCTTTTTTGATTTTATTTTCCTTTCTTTTTTTCCTTCTTTTTCATTTTTTTTTGGTATGTTTTTTCGTTCTTTCTTACTATTTTTTGTTTTTTCTTTTTTTATAGGTCTTTAGGTTCTTACAGTTTTACAATTAAGGTACGTCCTTTTTTTTCTTGCCTTTGTTTTTTAATTTGTTCTTTACTGACTCTCTATGCTGTTCTTTAACTCCTTCCTTTTCAACATTATGTGACGCATTTTACTCTTAACTTCACAGGTTTTGTTATTATTTGTTCTTTAACTCACTTGTTTATAAGTTTCATTTTTTAACCTTATTATAGGCTTTTTTTCGCGTTAAGTATTTTTTTCTTTTTTTTTCTTTTTTATTCTTTAGGTTCTTGTTTTCATTATTCTTTACTAACTATATTTTCTTTACTTTATGCCACTCTTTGACTTCGCAGGCTTTATTTTTCAATGTCATTGGTTTTGTTCTTTGATTTCATGAGTTTCATTATCATTTAATTCTTCAACTTTCTTCGTGGGTTTTGTTCTTCATCTCGATTTTGTTTTTTACTCTGTTGTTGTCATTTTTTTTGTGTATCAAAATTACTAGTTCTGTTAAAAATAAAATATAAATTTTACAATGTTTCTCTATTAGTAAACTTTAATAATTGATTTTTAACCATACAGTATATCATTATTTTATTGCGTAAATCAAAAACTTTTTGCGAATTAAAGTGTTGCGAATTTTTTAACGAAAATAAAAAAAGTTGACCAATCAAAATATAGTATAAAATCACGTGATTAGGGTTGCCATGGCGACAGGGTCGCCATAAACTAACGCCCATATAAATATATTATAATTTACATTTATTTACATAAATTTACTTTAAAATATTTAACGAATTTTTAATAAAAATTTAGTATACAATATTCTGAATTTTGCTATATGGATGTCAAAAAAATCCATTATAGTGTTACCGAATTTTTCCATAACGAAGGTCAGATCAGCATAGACACCAAATTTGTTATAACGCGAGCCAACTGTAGTACAATATTCATAAAAAAGAAAAGGTATAATTACTGCTAAATAGTAATATTTATTATAATATAAAAATGCTTTATCATAAACATATATAGTAATATCAAGTTTTATTTAAGTGATTGCAGCCTTGCAGGATTTAAATCTTTAATTTGTGATCCGTCTCTGAACCAGTGAAAACTACTAATAAATTTTGGAAAACTAGTTTTACAAATTAATTATCTCTTAAATGACTTTTAAACTAATTTTTCCAGAATTTTTTTTTTTTAAGTATTATATAATAATGTTCTGAATATATTGAATGATAAATTTGCTTCGTCAAATATTAATATCACAAGTTTAATCAACATAAACTTGCCATTTAAGGTTACATTATTATACAAATTAGCAATATTGCCTAAAAAGTAACCAGCCAATTTATATTACAACTCAGCTGAAAAATAATGTAATCAATTACTTAAAACTGAGGAAATCAAGATCCATCAAAAATTTTTACATTGAACAATTAGTTAAAAATTTTTTCTTTAGCAACGCTGGATTCTGACTTTTAAAAATGCCATAATTATTCAATACAAGAGATGTAATAATTACAAAATTGATATTTTTTTATTAAAATACAGTCTACCCTTGATATAGCGAAGAAACCGTTCTGCATCTCAAATTTGTTATAGCAAGTTAATGAAGAATTTGAAGAATTTGATTGGTTACTTCGTTATAATGAGGAAAAATTGACATATTTTATTGGCTAAGCGTCACATGATTCGTTATATAAAATTCGCTATAGGAAGGGTAAACTGTATTATTTATATGTTAGTAAATAATTTATTTAAAGGTTATAAACAAAAAAAAACAAAAAAAAGTATTAAAATTATTTATTTCTATTAAACACATTTTGCTTATATTGAGCAGTATATTTAGTAATTTTAAATAGTTGATACTTTTGGAATGTCAATTCTTTTAAACTACTTTTCTCTAATAATTTGTAAGTTTATTTCACATTTTCTATGTGCTATATCTATTGCTCTTATCTGAATTTTCCATAAATTAATTTGCAAAATAATTTTCCAAAATGTATTAATAGATTTCGCTGGTTCACAAATTAAATTTAATATAGATTTGATTTTTTTTGTAATTAAAATCAATATAGTATATATATACAATTGGCTGTTTAGAGAAATTTGTCAATTTATATTTATTAACAATTAATTGTATAGAATTGCAGAAGAATTACAATACTATTAAATAATTGTAAAATTGTGAAAAAATTGTGGTATTACTAAATAATTATGAAATTATGAATTATTATATGCATGCAATTTACTTTAAAAATCTGCAATATTGCAAATTTAAAAAAATAATTGCAGTATTATTTTTTATAAAGAAGATAATTTTTAAATTAATAAATGAATACTTGTATGAGTAAAATATATTTAATTATTATGTAATTGGCTATTTTATTTTATATAAATGTGAAATATTGAACTACCAACTTTAGAATGTAAAAGAACCTAATTAAGGGATAATTTATCTTCTATATCATCTATAAAAGTACTAATTTAGTGCTTGAATTATGAGATTCTTGAATAATTTAATTACAGTTAATCCCCTTTATAAGTATCTCCTATATAAAAATTCTTCTTTTTAAGGCATATATTTTTTAGTCCAGATTTTTTTATATATAAAATACTTCTTTTATAATCACTTTATTAGTTATAAGTATAAATATCAGTTTCATATTATAATAAATATATGTAAAATTCCATCTGTATAAATATATAAATCATATGATTTATAAAATAACTGATAAAATATACATTATGCAGTTTGCACATTTTATTCAATAAATTCTATTATTTTTGTTATTTTACTATGCTACCTATTCATTCACAAAAAACAAATCTAACATAACAACACAGGTCGAAAAGTGAAAAATCAGGCACCAATCGGTCACCAATCAGGTAGCTGATTGGTGACTGATTGGTGACTGATTGATGCCTGATTTTTCACTTTTCGACCTGTGCAAACTTGTACTGCAATTAATTAATATAAATATAAAAAAAGAGATTTGTGAATTTATGGTAGCAAATTCTAATATAAAACAAAGTAATATTACTTCATTTTTTAATGAAAAATATACAGGATTAAATGTTCAAAGAACAACTATTAATAAAATATGGAAAATGGCTTTCAGTTCTTTCTACTTCATAATCTTTATATATATTTCATCAACATTCTGTTCAATTTTCTGAAATTAATAAAGCTATGCAAATTTGAACATTACAAGTAGTAATAACTGCTGAACAATTGATAGAATATACCTACTGTATAAATAGTACTTTAAAATTGACTTAAATTCGATTTGATTCAACTTATTAGAAATATTACTTCTGTGTATCTGGAAAGTTATTTCCTACTTTGACTATTCTTCAAGTATTTCTTCAGTTCTATATTGCTAGAATAATTATTTTCACATTTTAAACATCTTTTAATTCATAACTAAATAAAAATAAAACAATACTAATTGATAATGGATCAATTGAATGCAGTTAATAGAGCAATAATATATCATTCACTATTATTATTAATTCATTAATTTCAACTAAAATTGCTGGGATCTTTGTAGTAGGAAATCTACATAATCAACAAATTGATCCACATAGTATATCCATAGAAATATTGACCTGGTAAAATGATAAATAATAAATAGAATGTTTAATAAAATTAATAAAAGAAATACTGTATAAGAGAATATCAGGTATTTTACCAGAATAGAGAAAACCTACAGCTTCTAATTGATAAGAAATTACAAAACTAAGATTAAACTTCTTGACTTTTTGAACTAGTGTATCTTGTATAGTTTTTGGTAATTTCTTAAATCTATTGGCCAAGAATTTGGTTTCATCTTCCCATCCCATAATTTTTCCTCTTCACTTATCATATACTCTTCTCATTGGTGTTTCCAACTTTCATAAAATTCCATCACACTTATGTACAACAAGCCATCCAGAGGTTTGTCCTGAACTAACCCTCTAAGTGAGAATTAGAAAAATCCTATGGTCTAAGTTTATACCATAAAAGTCTAGTAATAACAAGTTTTAGTTCAATAATATTTAAAGATGTATGCAAAATTTTATTATTACTCACAAATGAGAAAAAACTTCATAAACATAGTAATAGTCATAATCTTCCTGTAGGTTATCAATGTTGATTGATTTTGAGGATTATTTTAAGTTTCTTTGAAAAGTAAAGACATATTAATCATTCATATTTTTTTTTTAATTGCAAAATCTATTAATCAATCCAAACATGTGATCATTAATTATTGATTGCCTCTGAGAAACCTCTTCTTTTATCATTTGACCCTTATAAAAAATATCAAATATTTTTCTCAAATTGGTTTCCCAATACCTATATTATAAGAACTATTTTGGCCAAGACAGTAAGTCTTTGTGCATTTGTCTTGTAATCTTCTTGATTAGTTTATTTACTAAAACAAATTATCATGCCATTATTAGTTATAAAGAAAACTTTGTTAATAATATTATGAATATTCATAAAGGATACAAATGTAACATAATGGTTTATATACATTGCTATACATTAGTAAAAGTAATTGATTATACTCACTTGTCAGTAGCATAAAAGAAAATCTAGCAAATTATCATCTACTTGCGGTTCTCTGATATGTTGCTGGTCAGGTTCACTGAAAAGATTCATGATCGTTTTATCACTTATATCGATTATAAAACTGTGTAAATAGCTAAAAGCATAACTTAATAGTTAGATTGCAATTATAATAAATCTTATGTATGCCTTAAATGTCTACCTTTTAAGGTCCAAATTTATTGTATATTCATATAGAATATCTTCAATGAACTTTCTAGAAGGTAATTTCCATTTGTTCTTCAGACGCAATTTGTGATACTTTGCTGAATATTTAGCTTTTATTTCGTCCTTTTACATGCAAAATATCATTAGATCAGTGCTGCTATGTTCAATTGGTTATTTGATGCTTCCTTGTGTTTCTTTCATGTTATCAGTATTATTAGTCAGGATAAAGGATTCTATGCTTGTGCTGATACATGTCAGCCAATATCTTAAAAAACAATTTGACAGTATCTGTCTCCTGTTTCCATTGTTTTGAAGCCATTTGAGAAATTAAACGTATAGAAACTTTTATTTCGGGAGAGGTTTTTACTTTGGCAGATAGTCATTTCGAAAGATTATGAAGACATTATGTACTCTAATAATAATCACATCCTCACTGTACGGTTTGAATTATTGCTTGTTTGCTTCTCCTTTGGAATTTTCGGGGGTGGTTAATTCATCAACAGATAGTGTAAGGTCGTATGGAGGGCATCACAATAAAGGATGCAACTCTTGAGATGAAATCAATTCATCATGAAATATTAAATTTCCCTATCTAAGGTCTTCTGACTCTAGATTGAGGAATGGAGCACTGAAATATTTCAACAAACCCCAAATCAGTAAATCGATCGTTCTATATGACATAATAACACTAACGAATCTCAACAGCTGAAAGCGATTGAAGAGTATCATTTATATCATAATCAGCAAAAAAGTTAGTCAGATCCCATGATATTCTAAGCCATGAATTGATTTCGTAAGTTGCACATGATTTTTAACTGTTATCACGTGTCTACAGTGAGGTCTATGTACAAATTGTACTGTGGCAAAATACGGTAATTTGGGTCCGGCGGTGAGCTTCTGAAATATACAATATACACAAGTAACACAACGTTGCATATATTAATTAACTTTCATCCAATATTTTTAATCGAAGCTGAAGCCTTATCGGTTTGGATAGATAATTTGGTAATGAAGGATAAAGATTACAAATTTTATTCAAAAAGTGACTTAATTACCATAATATTTTTTTAATTAAATTTATAGAGCGTTATATAATACTCAAAGGGTTAAATATATAAAATATTTTATTAATTAAACACTTGAATTACAAACAAATTATTATTTTGAAATAGGTTTCACTTCTTTTAAGATATGGTAAATTAAATGAATCGATACTACTATAATAATAAATTACCACCAGGGTAGCAGATATATTTTCAAACTGGTTATAACTCAGCAAATTTACCCAAATAAAAATCTTTTTGAGCCCTGATAATATCATCCCATTCATTTCCCACGAAAGGTCCATGTTGTACAACGGGTTCTCTAATAGGTTTCCCGGCAAATAGAATAACCCTCAATACATTTACTCCCTCATTTGTGATTTTCAATACTGATTCTTCATTACAATCATCGTTTCTTAACGGAGAGCTAATTAATACATTTCCAGATTGCAGCTTAGTATTATCATCACCGAAAGAACCATTTCCTTCAAGTATATATATGAACATATTATAATTGGCTGGTATAGGTTCTTCTAATGTGAAATTTGGTTCTAAAATAGAAATATCTAAAGCTTTTACAGGAACAATATTTTTGGCGGGCCCCTTAATGTTCCCCGATGTGCCAGAAATCACTCGAATCTTAGCCGCCAATTCTTCCTCTTCTCCAGTTTGTTGAACTTTAGAAGATTCTGCTTTGTTCGAACTTTTTATTTCTCGTGTTGGAATGATATCTTTTGTAAGATCTTGATAGGATGCCTCAATTAATTTTTGTTCTCTGGGAAGGTTTAACCAAAGTTGCATAAGATGAACATTTGTCTCTTTATCTGCCGGAACCTCCTTATGTAATAATCCGCGTCCTGTTGTTGTCCATTGCACTTCACTAAATTTAAACTAGACTTTAGTATAATAAACTAATAAAGCGTGCATAGCAAACATTGGCATAACCTTTGAATTTGCTAATCATACTAAAAAAAATGAAATGTCACATGACTTACTCTATTTTCAAGAGCGAGTTGATTTAGTAAGAAATCAGTTAAAATGAGTTAAAGTATTTATAAATAAAGTTAATAATGTAAATTTATCAACACATACTTGGACCAATTATACTAGAGTTTCCTTTAGAATCTTGATGTCGTAATAATCCATCAAACACAATCGTCACAGTCTAAATAAATAAGGACGAAGTTAGCTTCACTTTTTAATACATTAAATCAATTCGATAGTAACACAAATACGTACTTCGAAACCTCTGTGAGGATGTAAGTCAAAGCCGCCTGGATGTCTAAACCAATCCTCAGCACACATCAAGAATGGATCATGTAATTCCCATTTATTTGGTGGTAAAATCATCCCATTTGCCATACTTAAAGTACCACGTCTTGTTTGTTTTGTTACTGTGTAAGTTGTAGAAATTTTACGGCGCAACATATTTATATTTGTTTAACGGTGAATACCAATAAGAAATGAAAAATTATCCATTTTTTACTTCATGGTTTGATTAAGATGAGTATTTATCGAAGAAAATTCATCACGTGAATACATTTTGATTACAATTAACCGACTATTCATTTCCTTTTACAATGAAAATAATTTGTAAAATTGATTACAAATATTACAAATAACCAAATTAACTAATATAACATTTCTCAGCAGCTCTATAATTTGAAATGAGTCATAGGTCATACTAACTAAAAAAATTGATACAAACAAACCGTTGATTTTTAATTTGACCAAAAATTACACGTGATAGTCGTGATACGCCAAAGACCGAAATGAATTTTAAAGATGCATTATTGTTTGATTTTCTTTATTTATCCAATAATTTTTCATGTTGATCACCAGCCGATCAAAGATTCAAGATTTAAAAAAGAAACCTTTTGCTTATCTAAATTCGTTATTTATTATATAACTAAATTTAAAAACAACGATATATTATCCTCAAAAGTTTGAGATTATTATATATTGACAGTTAATTCAATCGAATTTCCTTTTTTAGAAATAATTTTTAAAATTAAAAAAAAATTAAAATTAAAATTAAAATGTTTATTGCATCGAAATGCGGTAAACAAGAACAATTCTTTTCATTCCAATGCTGCAATGGACGACACGTGATTGCCAATTTAGATCAACGTATTATTAGTGTGTTACTTCAAGAAGCAAAGTTGCGCCAAAAGATAATCTTTATACAGGTCACTTTTATGCTAACTACTTATTTTGAATTTTTCTCGAGTTTTTCCGCCTTTTATTTAAAGTATCTGTACGATTGTGTTAAAATTTGGAAAGACATTTTTTAAAAAAATGAATTCTGTAACTCAAGTTGACGAACTTGTTAAAGAATATTTATTGGTAAGCTTTTAGAATTTCTACGGGTTAAGGTTCGAAAATTTCTTAAGCTTAACTTTATATTTTGCCTTGTTAGTTTAGAGGCTTCTCAAATACATTTCGTGTTTTCGAGCAAGAATGTCGCAACGACAAAGATAAAGGATTTCAAGTATGATTTTTCTTGGGTTCGTGTTAATCGAATATTATAAAATTTTAATAAATGATTTAATAAACATTTAGGCTGATAAAATCATTGAAGAACTATTTTCTTATATTACATCTAGCGATATAGATGGATTATTAGACTATTGGAAATATCTGGATTTAAGATATTTTTCTCGTCTAGATGCAAGATTCTTTGAAAGTGTAAAGAAATTTGAAATTTGTTTAATAAGATATTATCTTGTTTATGGTAAATAAAGTCTCACTTATGAAATATGTTTAATATTCTGAAATTATTAATTAATTTCTTTTTTAAAAGCTACGCAACAAAAGAGAAAAGATAAAATCCTTGAATTTTTTGAAACCTTTGGTGCAGAATTAAACGGCAATCCTGAATGGTTAAAATGGTTTGGTAGTAATTCATTTTATATAGTTATAATTATTCTACTTGAAATGTATTTTTTATTAATTTAATATATTACTATTCTTTAAAAAGGGTTGCCATTTTCAAAAAATCCTGCTTCAGATCCCAATTTCGAAACATTTTTTACCAGGCAATGGCTAGAAACATTCACCATATCCCTACATAATTTTTTAAACACGATATTTCAAAACATGTGTATCCTTCTCAATGATAAATTATAGTGTCTTTGTATATTTTATTTATTTATTTTTTTAACTCATATATACAGCTTTGCCAAGTTTACTATGTTTCAATCTCGATCGATTACATCGAAAAACACTTCGAAGTGAAATTGAATCATTACGGATCGAGATCGAAAATCTCAAAAAAGAAAAAGCAAATGGAGACACTGAGATTACATCACTTAAACAAAAAGTTGGTTTAAAATTTTTTTTTTTTTTTTTTTGAAAGATATTTTAATTTACCTTTTATTTTATTTTTACTTTTTATTCGAATTTCGAAAAAAAATAAAAACCTTAATTTAATTTCAACATCTTTAACAATAAAGCATTCTTGTTTGGATAATTGTGTGATTTGATTATTTTAGGTTGCTCAACACGAAATGACGGGTTATCCCAGGCGAAGATCTACGGCATCAAGTATTAATAAACATGAAATAGATAATGGCATAAAGTCACCAGAAATGTTTGCAGATGATCAAAGCATGACACCTATATCTGAATATGATATTGATGATTCACATGGACATATACACCCCTTCACTGTTACTAGTCAGGTAAGGAAATACAAAATAAAAAAGATTTTCTATTTATAATAATTTTAAAAATATTAATTATTTATATTTAGGAAATGTTTTTGGAAAATACATCAGGCATCACAGTAGCAAAAATTTCACATCAGGGTAATTTAATCGCAAGTAGCGATGTGGATAATATTATTAGGTACTGATTATGTATGTCTAATTAAAAAATCTACAAATTATATTAACCGGATTACTGATCTGTATGATTACATTCTTATTTTATTTATAGGATATGGAGTTACGCAGGATCATCATCACCTACAGTGAAACTCAGTAATTCTAATTCTAATATATTAAGTTTAGAATGGGAAGCCAGATCAGATAAACTTGTAAGAAATTTCGAAGAAAAAATTTTAATAATATTTTTTTTTCTTTTTTAAAAAAAACAATTTGATAAAATTTTTTTATTATTGTGAAGTTATTATATGGTACGGATGAACAATTGATTAAAGTGTATAATAAAGAGTCTAGATCGATTATTCACGAGTTCAAAATGGATGAACAATTTCCAAAGTATCTTTAATTTACTATATTAATTCGGAAGTGAGAAATATACGTTAACTAATTTTCAATTTATTATAGGGTAAATCAAATAAGTTGTTCGCCGGTGGAATCATTATTTGCATGTTCAGGATCACCAAAATCAATAGATGATATGTGCAACAGAAGTGAAACAGGATCTTTAATCACATTGAATTTGAAGACGATGACGATACAAGATACGTTTATGCTCAAAGCATCTTCAAAATCACCATCTTCATTACCTTTAATGCCAATAGAGACCATTAAATTTAATCATAATGGTCAAATGTTAGTTACAGGAGATAAATCTGGTTATATAAGAATATTTGGTGAGTAATTTTGAGCATTTTATTCAAATATACTTTAAATATTAATATTATTTAATTTAATAGATATTCGAACATTAACACCAATTATGGAGTGGAATATTTCTAATTCAAGTAAAATTGGAAGTGGAGTCATCTGTTCATCTCAATTTAGTTTTGATGAGAATTCTATATATGTAGTTGACGAGTCAGGAGAGGTAAGTTATACCTCTTAATAAAATTATTGCTGAAATCTTTATCCTATAATCTATTAATCCATATAATACATTTAATTGCTTGTTTAATAAGTTGTCACAATGGTCAAGTCGTAAACCTGGATCTGTTATGTCACAATCACAATTACAAGGCTTTCCACCAGCGATGCCAATAACTTCAACGAATCTTACTCCAAAATTATCCCGCAAACGTACGCCATCAATGTCATCAATTCGTTCAATCAAATCTACAAGATCAACATCTTCAATACCTGCAATTATCGAATCCACACCTTACGTGCCGACTTCACGTGTACCTATGATAGCATTTAATGACGATACTGAATACCTAGTTTGTGTTGGCGATAATGGCGGAACTCAGGGTGTTATTTACCAAGTAAGTTATCTTTTTTGCCTTTTTTTTAAAAAATTTGCAAAGGAATATAATTCATTTTAAAAAATTTTTTTTATTGGAAAAAATAGACATCCAATGGAGAACAAGTTCAAACATTAAAATCACACAGACAATATTTAACGGCCGTTGATTGGTCAGAAAATACCATAATAACTGCGGCAATGGATGGAACCGTTAGAGTATCTAGAATGGTAAATTCATAGTTTCATGGAGTAAATTCTCACAAAAATTGTTAGAATTTTTTTGTGTATTATTATGATAGCGGAGTATTTATTTTATTTATTTATAACCTTTATTTATTTTATTTTCTTTTTTTTTTAAAAAAAAAAAATAAACCATCTTTTTTTTATGTAATGGAATCAAGTCTAAAAAACACTATTGTATTTTATAAATAATATTTGGAGATTCACTGGGTGCTTTGACCCTATAATCCTCATAAAAATTGATCAGATGCTTGTTTTAGAGCAAGGGTTTAATCTGAAAATTTATTAGAATAACCTTACCATTTTGTAGAATTAGTCCTTGTGACGCTACTGCTCGCGGACAACTTTTATTTGTGATATATGATATTCCGTCCGCACGGTCCGCACGGTTAGCGTTTATTTCCACTGTTTTGTAATTATTAATTATAGTTAACTTCCAAATAATATAGTATTTAGTGAATTGTATAAAAACTACACCAACACAGAATAACAAAAATGAAATGGTTCTGGTTCTATAACAATATTATAACCTGAAAAATAAGTGACGTTATTTTTAGTTGATTATCATGCAACGGTATATAGCAGGACCCGAGGAATATAATTAAGTCTAGACAGAGCAGAATTACATAATATAATAATGATGTACGAAAAGAATTCAAAGGAGAATCAATGAATATTCAGAATAAGACTAAAAATTTTATTACGGTAGTTAGAATATCAAATTCTAATTTGATCAGAGTTTGTGAAATTTATATACCTACAAGTATTGGGACCCATGAGCTCAAAATTTTCAAAAAATCTAGTAACTCTGATATGATGGTATTAAATCCATGATTTCATTATAATAAAAATGCGTTCGGTTAATAAAAAACGGCATTTTTTGATACAAAATTTTAAATGAATTTAAAATAAAAATTAGAATTAGAATTAGAAATAGATGACAAATTTAATCCTATTAGGATATATTCAGTTGAATTATAAAAATAAATTTGCATATTTGGAATTTTATAAATTTTTATTCGTAACTACTATAATGAAATTAGTTCCAAGTCTGTTTATTGTTCCCAAAAAATGATTTTCTGGACAATATTATATAATAACTAAAAAAAACATAATATACACTTTCGTTTGAAATGTAAGAAAATGTAAGGCTGGAGCACCGATGACAGTAGCCGATCTTGATGTTTCTCATTTTTTAATGAAATATAAATTTCGCATGAAGTATAATTTCTTCATGGGAAGACACGTAATTTTAAATGCGGCTTAGTACACGCGTGAATTTGCCTCGATTAAAATGTCGATATCATTCGTGTTTGATAAACATTTTGACAAGTAATTCATAATCCTTAACATGGGCACAATTATTTCCCTTTATGAATTTTGTAAGCCATGATGATAATAATTTATAAAGGAAAATTTATTTCGATAAAAAAAAAAAAAAGGAATTCTTTTTAAACACATCTTAAATCAGTTACAAAAAAAAAATGAATTTTTATGATAAATTCTTGAGAAATTTCGTTATACTTGTAGTTTTTGCAACTTTAACGATTTCCCTTCCAATCTCTCTAAATAAAAGGTTAAGCACGGATATTCTCATCGTTACAGCTCCTAGTCCAATACCCAAATTCGTTGGATCTATACAAACTGTCAGTTGGATCTGTATCACTTGTAAACCAACAGATGATGTGAAAATTGAAATTATAAAAAATCTTAGTAAAGTAGTATTCACGACAACTGTAAGTTTAAATAAATAATTTGATAAATATAGTTTAAAATTTTTATTATTTCAATTTAAATAATATTAATTTCATTATTATTAAAGGGTAAAAATGCTAATTCTGGAACTCAAGATATTAAACTTGATCCAAGTTGGGCTGTTCCAGGAGCGTATAATGTTAAAGTATCACTTCAAAGCAATCCAAAAGTTTTCGGAATAAGTATTAAACCATTCCCTATTATCCCTGTTGTTTCAACTAATATAAATATCCCAGCTAATTTTCCAGTTAATTTTCCGAAATCTTTTTAAATTGTATAAATTTTAATTTTTAATGCTTAAAAAAGGGACTATGTAAATAGAGGTTAGTAAAATAAGGAATGATATTGGCAAAACGGTGATGGAATAATTTCGGGAATCAATTCCTATTTTTTTTTTTCCAGAATTCTATTATTGTTTATTATTTGTAAATAATTAAACATTTCTTATTCAATGTCCTGAATTAATAAGTGGGATTTGAGTTTAAGTTTTGATAAATTGTGAATATTACTCAACTTATTATAAATGGTCAGAATAACCATAATAACCTTGTATAATGTATAGTTAAATTACGCAGATCGATATACTGTATATTCACGCGGATGAATGACAAACGTTTACATATGTAAAATTGGTTAATCATGTTTTTATGGAAAAACAAATCTCAATTTATATTTATTTAACATTCAAATTTCTATATACCACGAATTTTACTGATCGTATACATATGAAAATAGAAATACATGATACTCAGCATCACATACTTTCTAATTAATTATCACAACGGTAAAGGTAAAATAATACTATGATATAAAATAAACATTAAAAATCAAGGTTTAGGGAAATTTTGTTTGCAATTTAATCCTTCATCGTTACAACAAGAACAAGTGCATTCTTGGGTATTCTGATTAAAGATGCACACCTCGGTTCCTATAAAATAAATTTAGTAATTTTTTTTTTAATAAAGTTTTTAACTTAATAATAATATTTTATAAAATATTATAATATAATAATAATTACCACCGCAAAAAGGTGCTGGATTAGGACAATCTCTTCTGGCGTTGATTGATGGTATTAATGTTAAAATACCAAAAAATGCAAAAATGAACAACAAAATAAGAGTTCTTGAATTCATTTTTAGTTGAATTATTAAGAAGAAAAGTTTTTCACAAAAAAGAAAATAGGAATTGAAATTGATTTATATAAAGTATTTAAGAAAAAAATTTTTTTCTTTTTTTTTGTATAAATTTTAGAAAAACAAGAGGATATTTTTATATCTTTTAGATCGATCATCAATCACCAATTCTAGAATGGTAGAATTTCATAAAATTAATTAAATTTAATAATACGGACGAATCAATATATAAAAACAGCAGGATTGGATATCTGCAAGGAGTTCAAATTGAAGCGAAGGGACAGTTTCAATTATATTAAAGATAAATTGTATATTATGTATATACACATTCACAACGAATGGTGGAATTACATAGTGCCGCCCAGCATTCTGACCATCTTTCACAAACTCTGAAACTGTTTAATGTCAATCCGGGATTGACATTAATGTAGATTCCGATACATTTTCGATTTGGAATTGGATAATTAATTTAAATTGGATAATTAGAATATCATATGCAAGATAATTATGTGCAGTTTAGCGTTTCCATTGGCGAAAAAAAAAACGAATTATTTATTATCTGATTTGGAGATCTCTGTCAGGAGTGAGTGGGGGTATTACCATTTTGTTAATTATTTATTCAGGGATGTAATCATATTAAATTATTATTTAGTTAATTATTTTAAATATGACCTTTAAATCGCGTTTTATAGAAACCATAATAATATAAATATATATATATATTTTCGTATAGGTTATTAGGTTATGAAATTTCCTTTTAATAATTTCATATATTCCTTCCCAGGAATGCAATGATTATAATGATTATTGTCTTTTTTTATGAATATAAATTTTAATTTTTGGATCTTAATTACACTAATCAGGTTTATAGATGACTCTAGCCTTTTTCGGACTGATAATATTATATTAATATTATTTTGATCCAACGCAACGTGGAGATCATGTTTCATTCCGGCTAATTAATGAATCCGCAATATTAATAAAATTTCTGATATCTGAATTACTATATATATACTTATATTATATAAAAAAGGGGGGAATTTTTTTCCTGTTAACAAATTCGCAAAATTAAAACTTTCGAATCACGAACTCACGAACACGTTTCAACCCTTGTCGGACCATTTTCCCTAAGTGTACCATTTGTCGAAATCAATTCATTTCTCGGACTGTAATATTTTCCGAAATTCCAATTTCCCCGAATATCAATTTCTAATATCTAAGATATACTTTTTTTTAATTTATTACTTAATATATTAGGGTGTCTACAATCAGGCAAAAATCATTAGTGAAGATTTTTTGTGTACAGCTATTTTGAATCGAAATAAAATGATCTCCAAATAAATTTTGAGCTGTGTTACCCAAATAATATATGTATTTATATGGCAATAAATAATAAAAAGGATTAATGGATTATTGTAATAGATCAGGTGATTTTTTTTTATATGGTTCACAAAGTTTTCGTACTGTACATATCAAATATTAGATGTCATCACCGTAAAATTGAATGGGTTAAGAAGAAACCTATACATCATTGATTAATCCAGTAAAATGTCCATTCGGGAAATTATCCAGTTCGGGAAATTGATATATTCGGGAAATTATCCAGTTCGGGAAATTATCAGTCAGTAAAATGACTTCGAATTCGTTCTATGGTGTGACTGGTAAAAGTGACTTCCCCTTCTCTAAACTTGAACTTGCTGGAGGTGTTACGCTGGTACTGTGTCAGTCTTTCTCTAATCCGAATCCCATTTATGATCCATTCGATACTTTTCCCACCAACAATCGTCTGATACGCATTATATTCGTCATCATCTCTTCCATATCCCGGTCATGCTTTCCTTGTGGACTGACTAGAAAGGAATTCGGTTCTGGTTTCTTATAAATATGCGTTGGGAAAGTATCGTGGAGTGAACTTTCCTCTTCTTCGTCATCTCCAGGTGTGATATCTCGTTCTGACGTATGACATCCACTAGATGCATTTTGTTCCTGACTAAATGTTACAATACCATCGGTAATTTGCCGATGAACTTTCATTGCCGATTCTACGTGATTCCGAGTTTGGATAATCTATAGTATGAACATACCAACAATGGTACAATGGTTTGGTATGTACAGTATTTCGTAAACAACAACATGAAAAAAAAATAGTGATACCTTAATATGTTCTATTTCAGCCAACTCGATAGTTTTTTCATTTTCAATCGTTTCCAACTTCCGCTCTGTATGATAAAGAGTCTCAATCCATTGGAAATAATCTCTTGTTGTTATCGAGGATTTCCATGACTGCTGACATAAAACGAGAAAGGAATATAAAATTTGCTAATAATATATAAACAGAAATCAACTTTAATAGCAACAAAGGCCATGGCGAACTAATAGTTCAACACAAGACAACTAATAGTTCTCCAGTGTGCCATGGGAGGCTAGAGAAGAGGACAGACTAATAGTCGACCTTCCAGTTGACTAATAGTCCCCTGGCTCAGCCCAATATCTCCAATACCTCTTCAGATTTGCATCAATAGAAACAACTAATAGTTGCTTATATTGAATACAATCCTATCCACAACAGACGCCTCAAACATATGCTGTATACCTTAATGTAGATCAGACGCCTTCTGCCGTATATCTCCCTTAATCATATTGTTGTTAGCAATCTTTTCGAGTCCTTTCTTGATATAGTGAATCCATCAAGGTCCCATAACGCTGGCGAAGTGAAATGTAAGTAATCCTCAGTCTCAGTCATAGCAATATTGAGACGCGTATTTCAATTGATTCTAAGCCACCTGGCGATCAAGACGATCAAGATCACATGGAATGCACAAATAAGATTCCCAGAAAGAAAAAAATATCGATGCAAACAGGCGAAATTTATTAATAATTTTTTAGATAAATAAGAAATGCTAGAGAAGCAAGCGAAATGTATGATGCTATCAAAAAGGGATGGAGTATGTGGATCCTAGGCAAATCCCAACATCAAGTTATTTCTTTGCTCTTTTAAAAAATTTATATTTGAGAATGTATATACACAACTATACATATTTAAATAATTCAAAGTGAAATCTTTATTATTTTTTTTGTATGAGAAAGTGCCGGCTAGCTAAGTAAAAATGAAAGTAAAAAATAATAGAGTAGCAGGATGTTTCAAGGGTTTAAAGCAACATGTACTGTAATCAGTTACGCAAATCTTCTATGTTTTTCAGATCTCGTGCGATCTTGACAATAAACAGTATATTTCTCGGTAACCAATTTTATTTGCTCCGTTAATATTAATTGATGTCACACCAGTTTGTCAATAAAACCATAATTTCATCTGATAAACACACCTTTGATTGAGTTGATTCAAGGTTCAGCCATTTTGATAATTAGATGGGGGTGTCCGTATGCAATACAATTATTTAGATAATATAATTTTAACCAAATCGGTTCTTGACTCACTACAAATCATATAAAAAGATGAGGCCAATCCTTTTATCTGCCTTGTGCAAATAAATCAAACGTCAAACGAAATAATTTACTGTACCATTATTTATATCATCAATATCATTAATCAAACAAACGAGTATATTCCCAAAGTAATAACAAAGTAAGTTGGTCTGATTTCTCAGCTTGATTATAGATTTACGTCATCACGATGTTAATCAAATTTTTTGATGTTTAAAGATAAAGCGGACATATTTATTACCTTTCTCCGCACATTCCGTGATCACTATCACGTGCCTGATCAAGGACCCAGATTTTCGTCACATGCCAAGATACAGTGCGCAGTATCGAATAAATTTTCCGGCAATAAAATTATAAGCATTTTCATGTGCCGAATTCTTGATGTTTGGTGCAGTATCGAACTGATGATAAAAATCGAAATATTATGAGGCGGTGTGGAATATTATTAAAATGAATTATAGCGGCAAGTGTGAATCGGAAGCTCTCACCTGGTTTTATTTTTTTTATCTCGTTGCTAATAAGAATTCTTCCTATAGATTCGAAATCATTTTATCTCGGGGAAGTTCTCTTGTGGAAAATAATCTACTACATAGTCTGTGTGAATGGGAGTGATATAGATAGACGAAAATTCTGTAAATATGGTTGGGATAATTTATTTCGGGGATCTATTGTAGCAAAAGGGTATGAGGGTGAGCACAAATTAGTTATAGATATTTTTCAAAATCGTGAGAGAACAAAGAAATAACTTGATGTTGAGATCGCATTAAATGGCCTAGGATCCGCGTACTCCCTCAGCATCATGTATTTCATTTATTTCATTTTGCTATCTCTGATATTTTTTAAAAATTGGAAAAAATTATGTATATCTGAGATGTATAATCAAAATATTTCACTATGACTAATGATATTAATGATATTAGATCAAAGAATAATGTATTTTATCACAATGTTGAGTTCGGACTTACAAAACGCGTTCTCAACTAGTATTTAATAAAGTTTATTCAGACTTACAACGCGCTCACATAATTGATGAAAGTTTGATAAAAGTTTATTCCGAATCATATATATAGTTAATACTAAATCCAATATAATAAAAAAAAATATTCTTTTATAACTTTATACGAAAGTTTCTCGGTTAAAAAAAACAAAATGTCAATATATAATATAATTAATGACCTCACTTTTACTGAACAGGAAAAAACAAAACTACGCTCCTATTTCTTTAAACACTCTGACAAAGTAGATATGGCAATGGAAATTCTGAATAGTTGTAATTCGCCTAAAGAGAAATTTGACTTCATGAGGGAGACTTTTTTGAAACCTGAGCCTGCGGGTATGTTAGATAAAATATTTGCCGTTACAATTGTTTGTGACGCTACTCTTTTTGTTCTTTATCACGTGCCTGCATTGACGTATTGTGACTCACGAAAGTCTTCTTCCTTGTAGAAAACAAAGGATCTCCTGAGGATTTATATATTATCATAGATAACTCGAATTTCTATATTGGGGCGTTTAAATCCATCTGTCAGATGGAGGGTCTAAGCGAAAATTTTCAACTTTTTATCGACTACGGAAGACTTCTTCGAGTCATCCAAAAAACTCGTAATCTAGGTCGCCCTCCAATTATCATTGGTTTCCGACCACCACCTCTTGATTCCCTATGGAATCGCATTAGAAGGGACGGGTATGATATACATATCTATGATAAGATTATCATAACAACAAATAATGAAACTGTAACAAAAGAGAAAATGGTTGATAATGCAATTGGGTTCCATATTGATGAAGTGATATTTACAAAGACACCTGCGACAATAGCACTTGTCTCAGGCGATTGTGATTATTTTCGAAATATCCAGGGTGCTCTGGAACGAAAATGGAAAGTTGAATTGTGGGCCTGGCATTCGGGTATAACCAATTATCATTATTTCTACTCAGACCCGTTATTTTATGCCAAAAATAATATGTATTCTCCAGGTGTAGTGAAGAAACCATTTCTTCAAACCACCTTCATTCCTCTTGATAATTATTACAAGATTTTTTCTTGGGGCTACGGGGTAGCTAATACTGAGGAAATGAAGATCCTTCAGTTATCTGATGGTGATGAGATACGCATTTGGGAAAACGATGATGTGATGAATTGTTATGTTGCATTAGATCTATTTGGATGGTGGCACCGATATAAACGAGGAATCTTACTCTTATATTTTCGAAGTAATGAAGAATTACAAAAAGCGCAGTTGTGGGTACATGAGAAACACCCTAATATACGGGTTAAAAAGTTATAAAATATTGTTGGTGGGAAAAGTCTGAAAGATGATGTCATTTACTTATGCTAGCGAATTTGTTAAATCTGATCTTTTATTGTTGCTTTATAGCTTAGCATATTGTTTCTAATCTTTTAAATATAATAAAATTTACAACAAGAAATTAATTTTTATTCTTGAATAATACTACTATTGAGAAAAGAATAGAAAGGGCAAGGAAGAAAATTTTTATAACGAATATTTAAAACCGCCTTTATCGCTCTAAATAAGCTCATAGCTAGTAACTTTTAACGGCAATTTATTTAGAAAAAAAAATTCTTTTTATGATTTTTGTTGCGCCACAATCTAGTAAGCTACGCCACAACCCTGGCACACAAAAAATAAATGCATCAAAGGGTTATTCTGACGCGCACATGTGACTTACATTCAGTGAGAACAATGCTTTATTTAAAAATAAAATGTCATCAACAGAGAAAACTAATGCATAAGTATTAGTTATTTACTGATCTAGTAGTATATAAATGGGTTATCATCTGAACTTCGATCATTATTTTTATATCTAGAAAGAACACTCTACTTGTAACTATATAACTGTAATTACTAATAGTAGACTGAAATAGGCCGCCCCGAAAGCAACCGTCTTCCATGGAAAATCGAGATTAGAATAATGATCTTGTTTAATCTATACGTTTAAAACAAAATCCACCAAATAACTTTGACCATTCCTTTGAGCTTTGCCGCATAAAATAAATCATGTGATTCACATTACTTATTTGTATAAACAATGTTCACTATGAGGTTACAGATACAAATGTCAAATGTAATTTATTTATAAAGCTTTCAAGTTTTTCAGTTACTATGTAAAGTGTGATTCTGTGCTATTAATAAATAATAAGAAACCTGTTTATCCCATTTTCGAGATATGTACTAGGTCGTACTTGATTATGCAAATAAAATTATTGTTTTTCTTGGCAAAAGTGATCTGCGTTCCAATAGCTTCTCTTAAATTTTTTAATAATTGAAATTACAAATTTTCCTACTAGCCTCGTCGAATGCGCCAGATTACATACTATATCATGTGAACGAGTAGATAAATTAACTACTACTATTACGTAAGCCCCTATCTAGCTCATCTTACCTCACTAAAAAGAAAAAGAAAAATTTAAAAGAAAACGCGCCACAAAATGCGATTTTTGCAATTTTCGCATACACTGTATATAGTGTTTTTATCCTGATAAAGTATATGTATAAAAAATATCCGATTAAAAAAATACACTTGGCAAATTGCAATTTCTGAGATTTACTTGTTTTATTTCTTATTTTCATTAACCGCAATGATTATTAATGTCTAAAAGGGAAATAAATGAGGTGTATTAAACTTAATTGTCTTAGGAAAACTCCCTGAAGACTTATTCTCTATTATTCTTGGTGATGAGATATTAACATTACTGTATATATATATAAATAGTAACGCGTATGATAGTACAATTGGTACATGTCCCAATTGTCTCATAAATCTGGATGTCTAAACACTTAATATTATAGTATTATTTGCATCGTGTAATAGTGACGGTTTATTGCCATAACAAATATATTTAATTATCATCTACTATAGAGGACATAGTAAATACGGTACATTTGTAAATTTATTCTTAGTAAATGTAGCGTGGAGATCATAGATACTGTACAATCAAATATCTACTACTTAAATGCATGGATTAGATTATGTCAGATTTTTATTTTTTGAAACAATCAATATTTTTGATCATAGATCTTATGGAGGATGAAACGCTATAATGATATCATCTGCAATGGTTGTCCACATGATATTTACTATAGAAGTTGCGTGACTAGATCAATGAACTCAAATAACATGTTTGAAATATAATTCAATCTTTATTTTATCTTATTTTCAATATGCCAAACAAATTATCTTACGTGCAAGTCCCCAAGTTAAACGATATTTTGGACATCAATATTCTGATAAAATCGAGTTGATTACTATAAAATTTTGCAACTATCATCACGTTTTATTTAAAGATCGAAAAAAGATTAATTATTTTCTCTATTTCATTAATAAAAATCTGAATCTTATATAAAAATATTTAAAATTATATATATATATATATGTATAAAAAAAAAAATAAAAAATAAAAAAAATAAAAAAAAATAAAAAAAAAAAATTGGTCACATTGTTCTCGATAACAAATTGAAATCTATACCTTTATATAATATTATCAAATATAAGAAAAATAAAAAAATTTATTTAGATTTTTTTTTTCTACATAAATATATACTACTCTCAAATGCACAAAAAAAATTTTTTGAATTATGAATGCATTTCAAACGCAAAATAATAATAATAATAATAATAATTTTCCTTCCCTGACAAAAAGCTAATAAATACACTTATATAATCCTATCCTAAATTATCATAAAAGTCCTAATTTTACAAGAAATAAGATGTCAATGATAACAAAGCACCACCTAAAACAGCAATTGATATTTGATTATCAATCTTGACAGCAGAAGAAGCAGCTTTAGGTGTTGCAGGTGCAGATGCGGCTGCAGTTGGTGAAGAGGCACTACTAGTGGTGGATTTTGGAGTTGTATTTGGTAGATCATCAGCTGGAGCAGCCGGTTGGGGTGGAGCTTTGGGTTGTTCAGCCGGGGCTTTAACACCAGGCGCTGTTAATGCTTTGCCAGCAGCAAGCACATTGATCGTAGCATACATTTGATCCGTGCCACAATGATCAGCAACAGTGCAGTAATAGTATACAGGACCTTCTTTTGCTAGAGTCCAAACGGCAGTCGGAGGAGCTGCAGCATTACCAGCATTTATAGGTGTAGTGAAGGCATCTGGTAATGCAGATTTAACACATTTACCAAATGCATCTGCTTGAAAAACATCATGATTTCCACCAACAAAGCTGAAGGTAACCTATAATTATAACAATATATTTATATATATTTTCTCTTTCTTTTTTTTTTATAAAATCTAAATTAAATACTTACGGTATCTCCTACATTAGCATCAAAGGTAGCAGGTGTAAACGCATTTTTACCAGCATCACCAACTTTGACTGACCAATTTTCACTATTAGCGAATGTAAATAGGGAAGCAATTAAAGCAACAACTGATAAATGTTTAATCATCATCTTTATTATATATATATATATATATATCTAAATATTGATTATTTATTATATTATATTTATTGATTAAAAAAAAAATGAGAAATATAAATATTAAATATAATAATTAACAGGAAAAAAAGATATTGGAGAGAAAGAAAAGAAAAAAAAATTTTTCACAACAGTAATAAAAATATCAGGGTTATTTAAAGAAATTTTTTGTTTGCAAAATGTTGTATCACAATAAATAATTTTTTTTGCGCTACTTTCAATATATTCAATATAACTATTGAATGACACAATAATAAATAATACGGGAGTACATTTTCAAATTTTATTTAAATAGCCAAAATATCTTTTTTTTTTATAGTTTCATTCTTTAAATGAAATTTTTTAGTAAAAATGTTAAAAACGTATAAATTTGGATAATTATGGTTAAAGTAATATTTAAAAATATTTACATCTTTTAAACACATGTTACATAGTTTTTAACCAAGAATTGATTAACCTAATTTAGTTAATTTGGTTTTTATATATTTTGTTTATAAATAGCCAAATTAGTTTTTATCTGAGGGAATTTTGCTTTGATGCCAAGAGAGCCAAGAGCCAAGAGAGTAAAACTATAAATTGAGGTAAAAGATAAATGAGAATGAAAAAAAAAAAAAAAAGTTAATTTAAAAAAAAAACTCATTTTAATCTGAAACAAAATTTTTTGATCTCTGACATTGATAAGAAATTTGGCGTTAATTTTTATAGAATATTTCTTATAAACATTGACGCGTTAAAATCGGAAACGAAGAATTTTCTTTTTTTCTTTCAAATAGATTTCTTTATTCTTTCAAATAGATTTCATTCTTTCAAATAGATTACTAATAATCGAATATACTTTACAAATTAATCGATCGCAATGGTAATTTTCATTAAATAATGAATAAGATAATGTTTATTTCTAGAAAAACAAAAGAAACAATATTATTTCTAAAAATATACTAAATATACTGATTAGTATCAACCTTCCAAATAAAGTAGTATTCTTACTAATCAGGATAATTATAATCCCTTTAAGTCCGTGAACTAAAAAATTCCAAGAATTCCAAGAATTCTGGGCAAAAAAAACGAAAAATATTTTTTTTTTCCGAATTTTCCCAAATTCTATAATTGGTCAATTTAATTAGCCGGATATCCTAAATACGTATGACAGTATCCAATAAAACTTTGTATACTTAATAAGGTTGAAATAATAAAAAGGTCGGGAAAAATGGTTTCTCAACAAACCGTTATGTGATATTCCCAGTAAAAATTATAAAACAATTAGGGTAGAATTAACCATTCTTTACGAATTAGTAGTAAATGGGACAACGTTGTAATTTATTTGTGTAAGTTGAAATAACATCACCATTTCATCATAATTAATAGGAGATATTATTGGAATTCGAATATATTCCAATACTACGATTTCATAACGTTAGATTCCAAAATTTATTGGGGAAGAGCAAATTATTTTATTAACATATTACCAGTTTATTTATTTTAAACATATTACCAGTTACAATATTAAAAATATTCTTTAGATAGAAACTGTGGAATCATATGATGTGTTGATCTTTTTTTTAATAAGGCATAAAACCCTTACATATGATACTTGGATCGGCAATTTGATCTGGTTACGAATTAATAATTAATAATTAATAATTTATCTTTGTTCTCTGAATTCATAAAAGATTTCACTCGCAAAATAGGTAACTTTAAAGGACATAATATTTCTATATTTATATTTTTATATTGATATTAAATTTTAGACAAAATTAAATAGAAATTGGTTAGAGTCCATTTTTTACAACGATTAAATACAATCGATTAATTATAGGTGCTTTCGGAATTGCCGAATTGAATGAAATTACGGCATCGCAAATATAGATTAATATTTAACAAATCATCGAGACCAGCATACGGATTACAAATTATCTACGGCATAATCAGAAAAAAATATTTACTTTGGTGTAATTTTTGTATTTTTGACGTTAAATAATTACGGCATTTCCGGCGATTTAATATATTACAGTATAGACTTCATAATTCATATGCCGACGGCAAGTATACGATTAATAGAACACGTCCTATGAGCTTAGTTTAAAATCGATGAGACAAGATACTTTTTTTATTATGATAGCAAAAAAAAAATACAAATAACCTATTATTTAATCAATCATATAATCGATTATTATTTTTTTTTTTTAAAAAAAAAAACTTATTAGATTGCTTGCTTCTTAATATACATTTAATGTAGTATCTTATAAATAAAAGAATTTTAAAATATGATTTTTGATTTATTCCTTTGAGAACTTAAAAAAAAAGTGTAACAAATCTCTTTTCATATTCAAATAAAATAAAATCCTTTTTTTTTTTTTTTTNTTTTTTTTTTAAAAAAATTTTTTTTTTTTTTTTTTAAATTGCGGATTTTTAATGGTAATAAAATATTTTTTTTTTCGAATTATAATGTTTTTATAAGGGAGAATGAAACGATAAAATTATGAAAGGAATGAGGGGAATGAAAGTGATTGGTTGAGGGAAAAATTTTTTACTATATGTAAAAAAAAACAATGTACTATATTGTACTATGTGAATATATAAAAAGAACAGAAATATTTTACAAAGAGAAGAAAATATATTTACTATTTTGTACAAAAATTAAAGAGAGAGAAGGTATATTTCGTTGTAAAATTTGTAACTTAATAAATTTCCTCCAGGGAACGAAAGAAATAACATTCTATCTTTGATGAAAGATAAGGAATGTTGTAATCAATATATATATATGTATATACTGTGTATACACATATATTCTATGTCTATAATGAAAAAAAAAATATAATAAAAATAATATAAAAAATGAATGCAAAAAAATGTGTTATATTTAAAAATGCTAAATGATCTATTTGAAGAAAATGATATATGTATATATATGTAAAAAAAAATATAAAAAAAAAAATTAATATTTAATTAATATTTAATTGTTCAGTTGTTCAGTTGTTCAGTTGATTCAGCAATAGTGCCACCACCACTTTTACTAGTCTTTTCATTACTACTATCACCCAATTCTACATCTACAAAATCTCCTCTGTCTTTAACATAAGTTGGTAAAGGAGTAGCAACATTATGTTTCTTAAAAAGACCATGTAAACGTATTGAAGAGAATCCTGGTGGTTTTGATTGTCTCTTTTGTTCTTCACTAACGTTTAAACTTGTAAAATCGGATAAAGTATGACTTTTTCCATTAGGTAAATTGGTGGAATTATTATTATCTTGTTGAATATGAGATAAGATCATGACAATAATAACATAAACAGCTGAACTACTTAATATAATGAAACCAAATATAATCGTTGTAGCCCAAAAGGATTTTTGTATAAATTTACCAGCCAATTGACTTAAATTATAAATAAATAAGGAAAGTATTTCACATGCTAAGAATCCAATAATATTATAAGTTCTTGAAATAAGATATCGAAATTGTTTTATGGCATGTATATCATATAATAATCCTACTTCTATAGATATATGCATCTTTATATTTAATATTAAGAAGAAGATAAGGCATATAGTCATTTGAAACATATAATAAAAATATGTTATGAGCATTGATTGACTCCAAGTCGTTTTGTATAATACTAATACGCATACTAAAGAAGGATAAATCATTATCCCACTAAGTAAATTAAAATATACGCTAAAATTAAAATATTGATGGGACATAATTTCTTCTTTTGATAAAGTGCTCGTCAAAGGAAAATATCTAGTAAAAGCTATAAATGCTGCAAGTGACTTCATTGCTAAAGAAAAATTCCATAATATTAAAGATGAAAATTTTAATTGAGGTAAAAAATTATCTAAATTTTCACTGGAGTTATCTTTAACTGTTATTATATCCGCCATAATTTCTAATAACATGGAAACAAGAATAAATCCTAATCCTATTCCTCTTGGGCTAATGGGCTGATTAAAAAGTCGATTACTTTGGCTGTTTTTATTTGTCCTCATTCGAATAAATATGAAAAAAACCGACCATATTAATACAAATGATGTTGCTAAAAGTCTATTTATATAATTTGTATTAAATATAAAATAATTATTATAAAAATTTTCCATTTTTATTTCTTTCCCTCTCTTTTTTTATATATATATATATAATGTGTGTATGTGTGTTTTTTTTTTAATATTTATTATAAGCACCGTCAAGGGCTTTATATGTATAAATAATTTAATTTTTTTTTTTTTTTTTT